TGTTACGTATCAAGACTACTGTTTTCACTTTAATTGAATTTATTTCAGTTAAAGTATTAGACTAGAGTATCGTTTTTACTGTTCTCTCAGTTAGTTCTGTCGTTGGTACTCTTGAGTACCTCTTTTTCAACTGTATCTGTTAGTACTTTTGGTCCTAGCAATCTACAGCTCTTCACCTTTTTGGTCATTGATTATTTTTTGTTTCTGAGTATCATCGCATCTTGAAAAAGAACCCCTCCTTAATGACCGGACAGTGTAAAAAAAAGCAGTTGTCAACGTCCGGGTTGTCGTAATCCGGTTGAAAGCGGCATGCAGTGCGACGAGTGCAAAGGCTGGTACCACGAAGTTTGCACGAACTTAACGCCTGCTGCTTTCAAACGGTTCAGTAAGAAGGGTTGTGTATGGCTTTGTCAACAGTGCTGCTCGGATGCAAACAGCTTGTTAACCGAGGCCATCTCACTGGGTGATGCTGCAAAGAAGTGTTTTAGCAAGCATAGTCGGAACGCGTCAAACAGCACTCGATCTGTCGACACGCAAATCAACGTGAAGGAAACTAAGGTTAGTTCGATAATAGATGACTCAAGCCCCTCAAAGAAGGAAAAGCAGTCTCCAAAGGGGCCTGCCTTAAACAAAAGCTCAAGAAAAGTAGGGTCTTCTCTTCCCCGTCTCCCAGATGGGATGCAACAAGAAACACCTAGAAGCCACAATCGCAAGGCTTGATCGGTTTCAAGCGGTAAACATAACCCGATCTCTCATGTCGTCGACAACCCCCAAAAATCCAACACTAGGTTTGACGACTGGGTACAGGTTGTAAGGAAGAAAAGTAGGGATATAAAAGGGAACCTTGCCCCCGTAAAAGTAGTTGAAAAATCGAAAGCTGAGCATAGCGACAGATCAGCTATTTTTCATAGAATCAAGGAGAGCGAGAGCTCTGAACCTAAAGCTCGTTTTGAGCATGACATTGTACTGATTAGGCAGCTGCTTAATCAACTTATGCCTCAAAATACGACCGGGGTCACCTTGCTAAAGGTGTACAGACTAGGGAGTCTAGGGGACTCGAAACCAAATCATTCCAGACTGCTTAAAGTAGTATTCAGTTCTTCGAACGAACGTGACCTAGTTTTACAGAATGGACACAAATTAAAGGGTTCAAAAGTTTTTATCCGAAAGGACCTACCATTGGCAGACCGTGTTAAAAGACGGGAAGCCGAGAAAAAACTACAACTTAGGTTAGACGCTGGCGAAAAGGACCTGAAAATTGTAAATTTTCGGGTTGTAAGACTTCGACAGAGAATGATGCCAAAGCCACTCTGGGTGAAGCACTAAGGCACTTAAACAGGCTCCGGATCTGTTACACCAATGCACGAAGCTTACTTAATAAGCTATCGGAACTACGTGTACAGATTGACTCTACAAAGCCAGACATAATCTCAGTAACAGAAACCTGGCTGTCACAGGCTATAGATAGTATGAAACTTGATTTTGAGGGTTTTACGTTAGTAAGGGCCGACAGAACACAAAAGCGCAAAGGAGGGGGAGTAGCTCTATTCATTAGGAATGCTATCCCATTTGCCATTATCGATAGTGTATCCCATGAGAGTGGGACGTGTGAATTAGTTAGTCTTCGCCTAAAATGCAGGGGACAAGAGCTGCTGATTGATTTGGTCTATCGCAGTCCAAGCTGTGAGGCAAATGAGATCCTGTTAAGCAGCCTCAATACTTGGTCCCAAAGTGGTCGATGTCTAATCCTAGGGGACTTCAATGCACCTATGGTAGACTGGGAAAATCTGAGAACTGAATCGTCGGAGAATTCCTTCGAGCAGGAACTAGTTGATGGGGATACTACATGTACCATAGTGCAACATCTGAAAGAAGCGACAAGGTACGATCCGGACACTGAATCATCCTTATTAGATCTGATACTGACTCACTATGAGGATGATTTTGCGAACCTCCATCATATGCCGCCCCTAGGTAAGAGTGATCACGCAGTTTTAACTTTCGACTTCCATATAACTGCCAGTCTCGAGCACGCGTCAGTCCGGTCCAGACCCAACGTCTGGAAAGCAAACATACCAGACATCATGCACTCAACATCGTTAATAGATTGGACAATAGACCCAGAGTCCTCAGTTGAAACGGCCTGGGACGCATTTCGAAATTCGTACTTAAAAGTTACCACACCTCACATCCCTTGGACTATACCAAAGGGGCCGAAGAACTCCCCACCATGGTTCAGTAGGGAGGTCCGTATCCTTCTCCGTAAGAAAAGGAAAACGTGGGATAGATTTAGGTTACTGGGGACTGATGAGTCAAAATCTCAGTATCGAAAGGCTCGAAATACTTGTGCCTCGACCCTCCGTAAGTCTAGAAAATTGTACGAAGGAAAACTTGTTAAGGAATCCATAGAATGTCCTAAACGCTTGTATTCCTATATAAACCAAAGGACAAAGTGAAGAGGAAATATTCCTGCTCTATGGGGAGATAGTACTGCCGCGTCACTAGTGGAGGACGACTTTGGTAAGGCTCAAGTGTTCTCGAACTACTTTAGCAACGTATATACCATAGAAGCGCACTTCCCGTCAGCGTATACAGATCCCCCCATACATACACTGGATAGCGTGACCATTAAAGAACTCGATGTCTTTGGTCTGCTAAATGAGCCTGACATAGGTAAATCCACGAGGCCCGATGAATTACATCCTAGGCTGCTGAAGGAATTATCTAACTTCGTTGCAAGCCCTTTAAGTACATGCTTTAACCTATCCGTTACGCAGGGTCGTTTATCAAAAGACTGGAAAAATGCCATATTAAGTCCTGTCTTCAAAACAGGTACGAAACACAAACCTGAGAACTACCGCCCCGTTAGCCTAACTAATGTGGTTGTTAAAATCTTAGAAGAGATTATTCGGAAGGAGCTGTTTAAGTATTTCGATAAAAACCGAATCCTCTCGGAGAAGCAGCACGGCTTCAGAATAGGTTATTCTTGTCTCACTAACTTATTAGTGGCTCGTGAAAGCCGATGCGCTCTTAAGGACCAAAAGCTACCTGTAGACGTAGCCTTCATTGATTTCGGTAAAGTTTTTGACAAAGTTCCGCACAACCGGCTGCTATATAAGTTAAGAAAAGTCGGGATTGGAGGCAATTTATTAAGGTGGATAAAAGAGTTCTTAGTTGGGCGTCAACAAAGAGTAAGGGTGAACTCAAAGCTATCTAGCTGGGAAACTGTGCTTAGTGGAGTGCTCCAGGGTAAAGGTTTGGGGCCAGTGCTATTCCTCTTGTATGTAAATGACCTTCCTTGTCTCCTATCATCATCGGTCTTGCTATATGCTGACGATGTCAAGATATGGAAAACGATACGATGTAAGAGTGATAGCTTAGAACTTCAAAATGACCTGAAGAAGTTATCTGAATGGTCTCAAACATGGCAGTTGCCGATAAATACTTCCAAGTGTGTTGTGATGCATATCGGTCATCAAGGCACAGATACATACACGATGAATAACACTGAGCTACCTGTCGTCCAGACATATAATGACTTAGGAGTTATCGTTAGTCAAGACTTAAAGACTACTGCACACTGCCCTGCAATAGCCGCCAAAGGTTTTAGAACGTTATGGTCAATACGTAGATCTTTTAGTCATGGCGATGCTTAAACGTTTTTGACTTTGTATGCAGTGTTCGTTCGTCCTAAACTTGAGTACTGCATAGAAGCGGCTAGCCCCTGCTTAAAAAAAGACAGTGAGCTTCTGGAAAATGTTCAGAGAACGGCGACTAAGCTGATTCCCGGAATAGTGAAGCTTCTATATGATGGTCGACTGGCCAGGCTGAACCTTTTCTCGTTGTCATATCGCAGAACTAGACGCGACTTGATTACAGTCTACAAATGGCTTAGTGATAAATTCGCACCTGATATGCCCTCATTTTTCTTGTCTTCCAAAACAGAGAATTTACGAGGACACTCCAAAAAAATACATAAGCCGAGAACAAATTACTTGTCAGCTGACTATCGACTTTCCCATCGAATCATCGACGAGTGAAATTCACTACCTCAGCACGTGGTTGAGGCTCCATCCGTCGACTCTTTCAAAAGAAAGTTGGATCAACTGAGAGACCACCATTGCCAGGACTAACATGGGCCATCGAGCCTCCTGTCCTTTCCAAACTGAAACTGATTGGGTACATCTTAAAATACAGAAGGTTTATATTTCAAGACACAGTGATCGGAATTTTTCAAAATTCCGAAATTGATGGGGTTATATAAATTTAAGGTCATTGTCTCTTGAATATCCAGTGGAAGCCAATAAGATTCCTGCGCTATTGGCGTAATATGAGCCATCTTCATTTCTACTAGCCATGACGATTATCATCCTGAAATCTGCCTCGCTCGTTTCATAGTTTCTCTGAGGTTGTCATTATTAAAATGCGAAAATTGCGACTTGCTGCGCAGACTTACGTTAGGGAATGTTTTACACTAATATCCCCAAAAAAATTAACCAAGTTCAGTCATAACATTAGTTCAAGATAGGACACCCCTAAGCTAGAGTAGGATAGATAACAGGTTTGGTTTCGCTTTTTGAGAGCTGTACAGTCATGAAATGTACTGTCATTCCAGGCTGTGTAAGCAAATCTTCCGAGCATTCCGGAGGAAACATGATATTATTTACGTAATAATCAGTTTATTCCACACCAGTTTACCGAAATTTCCTATTCTTTCCGTTTTAATCACACTTATTTTGATCGATGTGTAGAGTGTTTCGAAGAACATAATTTAAAAACACGGAAACGCGTTGTGTGGACCCACAGAGTTCGACATCAGTTTAGTCATTTGTTTGATTGGAGTCGAAAAATAGATGTAAAGTGTTACAGGCAAACACAAATTTCTTGAATATTGCGTGGCTTATCCTTGAGGATCGTTCACATTTAGCGGTTTGCTGATTTCTCAACTGTGCTTTGTTTGTTCTAATTATTCATTTTATATTTCAGATTTGCAACTCTATGGGATTTTTTAACTTCTCAAGGTCGAACCGGGAGGGCGAGTGTTGACCGTAGTCGGTTTGTTATGGCGTAAGTTTGGGTGAATTTGCTCATTTACCTACACACTATAATGCAGTACTTTTAGTTTATTTCGTCTTGTAAACTAGAATTAATGTGCACAACTATCTTATGTTCACATCTGCTGTGACAATCCTCATAGCCGCATTCAATAACTTTATACTTGTGAAAGTGTTCTGACTTGTGTGTTTTCAATGTTTCCTGACTCTCTAAAATAGCTTAAAGCATGGTGGGCGAGTGTTTGTTGTGTTATGACAAAGAAAATCATGATGCAGTGTAAAACAGTTCGTCACTAGTGTACTCTGTAGACTTTAACATGGAGAAACTATACTTTATGGACGGACAAATCACATTTAAGATTACAGGTCTTGGATTTCGGCACGAACTTTATTCATTTGGCTAAATAGCGTTTTGGCATTTTAGCTCATGCCAGTTCGTGATGAAGATAATAAATCTAATTCCTAACCCTAACCATCAAAATCATAATTCCAGCTCTCTACACTGGTTTATAGCACTCATTTAGCTCTAGTAAGTGGGTGTCACTGTCGGCTAAAACGCATCCATAGATTATAGTTTCATCTTTCGAATAATAAAAATCGTGAGATGACACTAAATATTTAAGGACATGTAAAAATAATCGCGACTCCATTGACTTTTTATCAATTAGATCAGTGGCCCTACCCATGAATAACGATTTTCTTAGACCATAACCTTAGCATCCCGAAATGAATCAGGCCAATAGTCAAAATTATATATCTTGATCTTCCCTATTTAGTTTACTTAGTGCAGGCGATCGATATGATCCAGTCAGGTTAAAACTGACAGAAAGTATCATTTTTCAAATATTAGAGAACTTGTTTTGTTATGTATGGGGCAATACTTTTGTACGAATGGTTGACGAATATGTAGTTAAATTATGTATTCTGGGGAACTGCATTCGTTTCACATTAGAAAATATCTCGGTTTTGGCACAAAACCTCATCTAATTTTTCCGTATATGTAGTCTTTAGTACATCCAGGGAAGTCAAGCGAGATTTCGTAAAGTTATAACGAAAAAAATTAAGTTACCTCAGGTTATAGATTACTTACAAACTACTTTATTTTTATTAATTTTCTTCATGTCATGTTTCGTTATTGCAGTGAGTGTGCCGTGGCCACAGCAAAAGCAAATGTTATGCTCTATGATTCGAAGGCTAGTACTTGGATCCCAAGTGGCCCAGGACATGGCATTTCCAAAGTTCAACTATATCACAACACGTTAACTAATGCCTATCGAGTTGTTGGATGGAGGTTACCAGATCGTGAGGTATGGCATAATTAGTGGTTACTTTCTTGAAGTTCTTAAAAGACGATTTTTTAAGGCTACCTAATAGATGTCTTAATACAATTCTTTTGTGCTGATTATAAGACATTAGCCTTGTCTTTTAGAAGTTCTTATCACTGAACGACATCAATTAAGTAACCATATCGAAATAGAGATCCTAAAAGCTCTTTATATCTAATTCATTTTTAACGGTTAGTCGAATCTTCTTGCTATTAGTGTTAAGGACTGCTTTAGTGGCTCGAGATCTGACTTCAGTTAGATCATATGATTGATTATTATTGAGTTATGCATTTCGTCACTCGTATAAAATTATAGACTTAACTCGTGTTGGTGAATAACGGAATTAAATAGGTCAAATGCGAGAATGTATGTTTGAACACGTATATTTTGTACTGTCGTTGACCGGAACAGACAATCAGAGAGTCGCAGCGAATAAAGCGGAAAAGAGAGAGGGAAGCGAAACAAGGATTCGCGGTGGAGAAGGCATATGAAAAACTCCATTTGGTCAAGCGTTAATCGATATTTATAGTCACACAAAAATAAGCTACAGACTTGTGATGAGTAGGATAAGATATACAAGCATACGCTCATATAAAGACAGTCAGGATTGATAAGTGAATAATTAACAAGGTCAAAACATAACTCTAGAAGAATGGATAAATTGGCCTGTCCAGAAGTTAGAATAAGTTGTATGGGCTTAACATAGTAACCGACACTGCACTGCAAATGACCAGTCTCTTATGTCATTATGTATCCTGTGAGTATCTCCTCAACACTCCCTTCAAATCACTATATCTTCCTTGATTTGGTTCATCAGTTTATTATTGAGGTCATTCAAATGTTTTTTGCATATCCATGTACATTGTGTATCTACCTATTACTTCAGAAAACTAGTATTTATCGCTTTACTGATTTTGGTTTGGTTTATGGCACCATTTAGTTATCTTCCGATATAATCGACAGATATTCATCATTTATCAACTTGATCGAGCTTGTGTGGCACAACTACCATGTGTAATTTTGAAGTGAGCCCCTAATTCCATCTTACTTTTAAAAAATAAAGTTAGTAGTTATAATCATTTGATAGCAGACAAATGTTCAGACGTGTTAAGGAAACCGGTATTAGGAACCCGACTGTTAGCGAAACTATCTCAGAAAAAGATGGACATATTATACATTCTCAATCCAGGAAATTGGATCGATGGGAAGAACACTTTAGAGATCAGTTCAACTGACCTTCAGCCACACTTCGGTTTCCCACGATCTCCAGTCTACCTGAATGGCAAGTTAATGTAAGTCCTCCGACTCTATGAAGTTGAAAAAGCCATATGAAATCTGAAGCGTGGGAGAGCAGCACGCCCTGACAGGCTTACCCCTGAGATTTTTAAAGATGGCGGTCCAGTATTAGCAGCAAGATTGACTGAGGTCTTAGGTAGAATCTGGGAACTGGACGTAATCCCATCTGACTGGTCCCAATCACTGATTGTGCCAGTCTACAAGGAAGGGCAAAAGTTCTCTTGTGAAAATCACAGAGGAATCAGTTTGACTAATATAGTGTCTAAAATATTAGCTTCAATAATTCTTGGACGCCTAACCAAAGCTCGTGAAGAACAGACCAGAGAAAACCAGGCTGGTTTCAAACCGATGGTGCACACGGGCTCCGGGACCAAATGGCGTATGAACCAATTCCTTGGTCACCGGTTACCGTGGGACTGCATCTCATGACATTGTTCCACTGCCTTGTGGATCAGACTTTTAGGTCGAAAGCCCCGGGTGTGGTCCCCTAAGAAAACCACTTGCTTCGGTTTGGGCACATGGGCACTATCCCAGCCCACACAAAAATCAAGTGCCTTATGTAGCGCATATGTGTTCGCTGCCCCTTTGTGCCAATATTTATATGTTCAACTAAATAAATGACTGTATTAAAGTATTAAAAACCGTTTTCAAAATGACTTCTGTGTTACACTTATCCCTCTGACTACTACCGATGTTCAGTGAAGATTTTTTCTGCAACCAAAGCAGTTTTCCTAAAAGCTCCCTTAGTGATTTTATAGCCATCTTATTTTATATCATTAATTTATTTATTATAACTTATTACCGTTGCTAATCTCTGCATATATGGCTATTAGGTTGTTATTAATTGTGCCATTGCACGTGGGTTAAAATATCATCAAGCGCGTCCAACGTTTCATCAGTGGCGTGATAGTAGACAACAAGTTTACGGCTTGAATTTCACATCAGTTGAAGAAGCAGATGCATTTGCTGCCGCTGTTAAATCAGCCTTAGAAAGTCTAGCTACACTACATTGTCAACAGGTTTTACAAGCTCAACAACAACAATGTAAGCCTCCTGTCACTTATGATCAGTTGGTATCAAATGAAACAACTACTACTATTAATCAAGATATGCAACTAAACCAATATCAACAATCAAAATACCAAGTACCAAATCAGCAGCTATCATCGAATCAACAAGTAACTAACTATACCAATAATAACAATCAGGCATATTCTGCACAACCTACGGGAATATTAGTCCAAAATCGTCAGATTTCATCCTCTGTAAGTGTGTGTGTGTACGTTTTTTTGTATCCTCACTTATGATTTTTATAATCCCTCATATTCAGTTATAACAACGATTGTTTAATTTTATCGTTGACGTGCTTTTAGAGATAACACTTTCTTCATCTAAATTTCCAGGGGTTGAACTTCTACCGGGAGATTCATTTGTTAACTTAGAATATGCCGATGACATAGTTCTATTTGTTGAAGACGCTGACAAAATGCAGAGTCTTCTGACCACTCTAAGCAACAATGCAGGCATATTCGGGATGCGATTCTCCCCCTCGAGATGCAAAATGTTGCTTCGGGATTGGGTTGCATAGACACTCGAACTAACGATAGGTAGTGAAGTAGTTGAGCGTGTCGACCGCTTCACTTATCTTGGAAGTCTCATCAGCCCTTGTGGTCTGGTGTGTGACGAAATCTCACCACGGATACAGAAGGCTCGATTAGCTTTTGCCAACCTGCGTCATTTATGGCGTAGGCGAGATATCTGTCTACTAACCAAAGGACAGGTTTACTGCTCAGCAGTTCGTTCCATCCTACTTCATGGCAGTGAAACATGGTCGGTAAGAGTAGAGGATATTCATAGGTTACTAGTATTCGATCACAGATGTCTTCGAAACATGGTTCGTATATCCTGGGACCACCGAGTAAGTAACTCAGTTGTTACGAAACGGGTACTAGGTAATGATGGCAAATCAGTTGATGGATTAGTAAAACTTCATCAGTTTAGATGGCTGGGACATGTGTTACGTATGCCCAACGACCGACTGCCTCGACGTGCGATGTTCAGTGGTATAGGAGTAAGTTGAAAGAAAGCTAGGGGCGGCCAGACCAAAACATGGCACAAGTCCATGAATTCACTGACAAGTGGACTGAACCATGTTGGTAGGTGTAGACTACCTGGTTGGGATCCGCCAGACGATAGCAACCGATGGTTAGAAACGTCGAATGACATGGCTCAAAATCTCATCTATTTGATTTTGAAACAAACGTATATACTCGTGTGAATTGCTGACACCTACACCAGTCACTTTCTCATATATTTCAAATTACGATGGTCTCTTCTAGCCATAGTGTTATCTAAATTTATAGGCCCGGATTCTGGTTAGCTGGACATTGATTTGTAATTCGTTACATTACCGACTCTATCATAGTCTAATTACCTTGATTTGACCATCGAGGTGACGTGTATGCTTATCCCTCTTACCTTAATTTGTCCCATCATGTGGTAAAGCTACTTATTGCCAACTACTATGAAGTTACATTTTCCTTTCAGTTCAATAAAGAACTTGATTTACTTTAACTCAGTATTTTTGCTATATTTTTTTTCGAGTTTCACTATTTTGGTATATTCTTTATTATTATTATTTTTTCATTATTATTTACAGGACATAACTGAACCAACTGAAAGTTACACCGATCAGAACAAAGCATTGTCATCATCGGCATTATCGAATCAGCAGTCTGATCGAGACACTTTATGCAATGATTACAATGAGGCAATTGTGAACAGTGTAAATAATATTATTTTAAGTGATAATCAGAATGTCTACCCGGGTTATACAACAACATGTAAAACTAATACCTCTAGTCATCAGAATACTGAAAGTAAGTCTTCATTGTTGGTCTTTGAATTTTTGCAAGCACATGTTTATCTGTACATAACATTTTAGAGAAATTTATTTGCTATAAAATTCATGTTTAATTATTGGTCTACTGTAATAATAGTGGTAGTAACAATCCTGTACTCAGTATTTCAAGATAATCGATGGGAGATCCAGTTAAAATTTATCAGCCAAAGGTATACTTGTTAGTTCAATTTGCTTACCATTGTTTTGGAGTTATTATTATTATTATTATTATTATTATTATTATTATTATTATTATTAGTAGTAGTAGTAGTAGTAGTAGTAGTAACAGTAACGTAGCAGTAAAACAAATATTATGGGTTCGAACCCCGGAAGTTAAGGTGGTGATTGGAGGTATTCGATAGGAAACTCAGAAGTTACGTAAGCATTTGTGTTTGGTAAGTTACCCACAACTATAGCTTTAGCTTATTCTTTTAAAAGAAATCAGGAAAGATGTTTTATTAAAATTTTATTGTTGCTTGCTGGAAGAAAACTAGGGACAGTCAGACAAAAATGTGGCCTCAATCTATGAAGTCATTTACTGTTGGACTGATACATGTTGGTAGGTGTATACTACTTGTTTTGGGTCTTAACGGTTATTGTGACCAAAGGTTGGGTACGTTGGCTGATATAATTTTTAATCAATACCTAATCTTTTCTGCTGCCACTACTCCTGATACAGTTACCAATTCTACTACTCTGAGATTTGGATTGGTAGTTTGATCTCTCTGTGCCAACCTATTGTGGTCATTTAAACATATACATATATATACAGATTCTACGTTTCATATGACTGATAAGTGTTTACAGAACTCTAATTTAAAATTAAATTGATGTAGCAATCACGAAAATGTTCGTTTTAGTGTTATATTTTTTGGTGTAGACATATTGTCGGATATATTATTATTATTAACAAATAATAACTGAATTAACTCAAAATACATTACAGAAACGGCTATAGTTGTCAAAAATAATTGGAGTATAATAGTTTGTATAAATATGACTTACATGTCATCAAAGGAGTGTGCATTCTCATTCTATTGACCGGTTCTTTTTTTACTATGATTCAACTACTAGTCAATCATCGGTGCTACTCGGACTGATTTGCTAAATTGTCACATAACATGAAATCTCTCTGTTAGGTTCGGAGTGAAAAAAAGAGCAAAGAATGTTTATTTCAGAGACATGCCCTGTAGTGGGTTCAAATCCCATCCCCGTTTTCACTGTTTTTTTCGCTACTTGATTAACGCAGAATACGGTTTACGACTAAGACACTCGAGCGTTGAACTTCACCGTCGCAAATCAGAAGGCAAAAGAAAAGCTGGAGAAGTGTTTATTTGGTAAGAATCGAAATGTACAGGAAATCACGGGTATTTATGGATATTAGCATTTGTTAAGTCAACATTATATTTTGGCCAACCCGCAAAAAGACATATGCTACTGACCGATAGTAGCATGCTACGTTGATATTCTAGAAAGCCCCATCATGATCTGATTGACTCGAGACTTCGGCACCTTTAGGGCCTCTGGAGGCTCCGTCGTAGTTCTCGGAAGCCGACTGAACATCCTCTTTTGTTGTGCAGTTACAGCTAAGGAAATATTGTTGTCACGTATTTAAAAATGGTGTTAGACATATTTTTTTTAAAAAAAACATGTGTTTACTGTGAAAACTAGAAAGCAAACTAATAATTTATATAAAAATTCTTGAAATTTTCAAATAATTGATAAGGAATATTCGTGCTTTCATAATTATAGTGATGGTAATAACAAAGATCCTACCTTTATAAATGTTGGGGTGATCCAGAAAATTGCTTGCAAAAGACAAGCAAGCATCAGGAATCACTAAGATGCGTTTCATCCAATCAGCGTTCACCCGAAGTTTTTGCCAAAAATATCAAGGAAGCGAAACGTCACATGTACAGGTTCTGATTGGCTGGCTGCTACACTGCTACTATGTTTAGTAGCATTCCAGAATCTTCTAAGCAACCCAAGGATATTTAAAATATTATAAAAACCCTGTATTCTCTGTATTAAAATGAACCTTGGAGTAAACTACTTCTCGCGTACTTTGAGTCTCCTCTCTCGTGTTCAGGTCGCTCTATAGTTCTAGCTCGGGGGTGACAGAATAGCTTAGGAGACGAATATAGCGTTCAATCCGCAAGACTTATCAATAAATCACTAACAAATCAAGTTATGGAAATTCATAAGCGCACTACGTTTGCGTTCTGTTTCATTGATTATATCAGATCACACTAATTAATTTATCAACTATCATAAATTCAGTTGACTAAATGACAGGAATCTATATTAGTCAATGAGTAAATGTTGTTTCTGTGTGCATGAGATTTGAACATCTTGAGCGACTCATTAATGATTAGTTTCAAACCAATGGTAAGACAGTTAGATGCCGTTTCCTGTTTTCTCACAGATGGTGAAATTTATTATATAGATCACTCAACATTCACACTGATTCTGAAAGTCATCAATGTCCGCCTAGTAACTTCCAAAATGCTCTTTTTGTTGAAAACATTTATAATAGATGAGTTTTTTCATTCTCTTGTGCTATGAGAGTGTTACAGTGTGATTTGGGTCTTCTAGATAGTCTTTGTACAAAACTCATATATACTGTTGGGTTGTGACTGTTACTGACCTCCTGTATACTTATGCTTCCATCGTTACTATGTTTTTATTCTGATGACTAAGGCATCTAAGAACGGAATTTCGTTCATGGTTTCTTGCTTTCTTATTGTTGTTACCGAAGATGATGCTGACGATTAACTGATGAATATTTCCAAACTGATCTCTTTTAAATATAGGATAAATATTTGACCTATGTAATTCATCCCGATCGATCGATCAACTGGTATAAGTTGTAAAAATTAGAACCACTTACGTTACGCAACATTCCATAGTTTGTTAGTATTGTCTAACAGACAAAAACATGTGAAATACATACACAGTTAAACTGATCTTAGATTAATTCTTTGTGTATTGTGTTAAATAACTTAGGTCGAATGACTAATTCAACAAAAACACACGAGCTGGTATGATAATCTGATGGAAAGAAGAGAAATTAAGTTGATTACTGTTCAGCACATGAACTGTCTTACATATATCGTTGTTGTTGCGTTCCCGTTTCTTCTCAATTCACTCAACAACTCTATATCCTTATTTCCTCTTTTGTAACCTGAAATTCTGTTTAATTATATTTTGGAAAATTTCTGTCTTTTTTTTCGTTTACCATTATTGATAGACTTGTTAGTTTTGGTAGGTGAATCAAATGAACGAGTTGATAAAGCAAACAGACCAACGTTTAATATATCTAAGTTGAAACTGCCCTTTTGTGTGTTATGTTGGTTGGAGGTAATTGGAAAGATATCCTTCTCAACCTAGGTTTCGTATTGCCCGATACTGGCCAGCTAGATATAGCTACAGTCTATTGCTGTCTGTGTGATATTCGAATTTGCGTCACCCAGCTTTACATTCTGATGTGTCACCACAGCCAGTTAGCATACGAAACTTAAGTTTTGTGTTTTCTGCCAACTATCTCCAACCACTTAACATTTTAACATAATGGATACGATGTCAATTTGCATAGATTAGTGGTTGCATTGTAACTTCATAGAATTTAGTCAGTACTAAAGGACCAGACAAAAGTAACATTGGTTTGTACTATGTGCTTAACTATTTGTTTCTTTTTATTTTATATTTAAAAAACATCAAATACAATTTTGTTTATTCTGTAAACAATTCTTTTCATATACCTTAATTTACTGTGATTATTCACGATAGCAATCAAAGACATGTCTGTCTAGCCGTTAGTGTTTGCCGAATTTTATAGACTGTTTTCAACTTGAAACCAAGCTTAAGTAACTAAATGTCACGTGTACTATACTTTGATGCACTAAGGATTAGATAAGCATAACATTTGTGATCATTGAATGTAAAAATCTCAGTCCTATGACAGTTCAGTTGCATACGGAATCCCTCACTGGTAGCGTCTGAAACTTTTATATTACGTGATGAATGGCTAAATTTTACGGGGAGCGTTAATTCTCACAAGATTACAAATACAGTTTCCTAATAAGTACTAACTTAAATGATAACTTCTCACTGATTGTTAGAAATTCATCTGGACTTAGAACTGCTTATTGAGGAACTAGGCCTGAAGGAATCGTTAATACATTGTAGACGAGAAATGTATTTCGAATGAGGCTCATCAATTCAGAATCCAACACATTGTTCATATACAACGTCAACAATCTGTAACAAATATGTGAGTCGTCATGTCAATGTTTGCATATAATTAAATAATACGGGCAATAATTAGATCAATTACTTACCGGGTAATTTTTAGCGACACAGGTTGGGACCTCACTCCATTCACTTCATTAGTTTAGGGACCCAAGTAATATCAGTGTGACTTTTACACATTGAATTGCGACCAAAGGTTAAGTACATAAGCTCATATATATGGTAAACGATTTATACATTAAATTAAAGATACTACTTGTGAGTTCAACCATTGAATTGTGTCTTTTTAATACATTGTTGGCTACCTTACATGATATGACTCAGAATCGTTCGCAGTGACACAAATGTATTCACCCTTCACCATCTCGAAGTCCAATATACTTTCATATATATACCTTTCCAATTTGTCTTGTAAAATCATCTTTCCATAGTTTAGTTTTGCTTTTTATCATTCGTGCTACATTACTTTGATCTCTTTTGTTATTTTCATCTCCTTGTCCTATGGGATCTGAGTCAAGAATATCTGTGCCAGACTTCTTTATTGATGTTTTCTGTTTGTCATTATTATTTTACTATTCTCTGTTATAAAACGATTGCACAAACTGTTAAGAAATGCACAATATTTTCTGTAGATTCAACTTGAATCAGTCAAAAAAAGACAACTGTTTCTTGTTTTGTTTACAGTCTCTATTTTTAATTCTACATAGATGTAAAAATGGTTTATAGACTTTTATCTAGACTAGTTTGAACTGTACTAAATTATGCAATTTATTGTTTTATCATGTAAACTTATTATTAAATAGTAAATTTTCTTTGTTGTTTATAAGTAGTTGTAATGTGTAAATATGATTGTGATAATTCTCTTACTTGGTATATAAATTATATTCAACAAATGGTACACTTTGTTTATTTCCAATATTTAATTCATGACACGAATTATCTTATATGTGACACATACAATATATACCATGCCTATAATATTATATAATGTTATCATCTTCATTTTTATTGCATAATATATTCTTGTTCTGGTTTGATAATAATTACTGTTTAATTGCATATCATATGATTTGTATAATAAATAATTCATTATACTTGTTTTGATTAAAATTACGCCATTCATTTCATAGATGTTGACAATCGATCTATTTATACAGTCAAGTAGTCAGTGTTCATCATGAACTAACATAAACCGGAAATCCATTAAAAGAATCTTCTGCGCATTTGAGTTTTTTGTTTCACTTAATCCTGAGTAATTTAACTGTGATAATGGTAAATTTAAGAAAGATGATGATGATTTGTAGCTGAAGTGCATGATTTTGTTGAAATAGCGTTCTCTATACTGTGTAGTTTTATCATGGAGCTTTCATTGTCTTTCTAGACAATATGATCATCATAAACGTTAAACTAGAGTATGCTTTGAGAATTCCTCCATAAGCGATCTTCAATTTTGACTGGTTGTTGTTGGCCTTTATCCTGTTATAGTTCACTTCAATCGAAAGTTTATATTAATGGTATTGTGTAGTAGAAAGACAATGGAAGGCTCACATATAAATCACCCTATGCAAAGAACTCAGTTTTAAAAAAGTATAGACCTTAGTCACTAAATCGGCATCTCAATTTAATTTCGGAAAATTATGGTATGTATTTTATAAACTGGTTTTGCCATTATATAATACTGAAGTGAAATTCGTAACCAATTTATTGTCTTGAAAAGAGTTTGTATTTGTATTTGATAAATCTTCTAACTGAACTCCTGAATCGGTTTCCTAAGCTCTTCTTACAACCCCAGGCTAAATCTACAAGACAACTTGAACACGAGAGAAAAGCCGCGAAATATGAAAAGAACGCTTTACTTCAATGTAGGTTTGTGTGCCGAAGTTCAGATGGCCTTGGGGTTCTGGAACCTTAATGAACATAGTAGTAGGATAGGTGATTATCCGATCAGAAATGTGACAAGTGACTCTCCACTCTCTAAATGTTTCTGAAACACCACTATTCAATGTTGATTGAATAAGATGTTTCCCAGCGTTTTCAGGACCCCTCTGGGTATTTTTCGAGGAATATTCTGGGTCACCCCGACATTATTATATACATATGATTTAGAAAGTGTTAGTTATTCATTTTTAAGTCTTGATTATTACACTTTCCTTTTTGTTGTCCCCCTATTTTTAATTTTAATGATTGATTGACTTTAACATTTTTATTATTTATTGGTTCTCATGTTCCATTTTGTATTACAAATAGTTTCACGTCTTAAATCATCAACGGAACAAAATGTATCCGCGATAAATGGTTGTTCAATGAATGGTAATACAGAACATGGTGTAAATTGTGATTCACCGTAAGTGTTTTTTATTTCAAGAAGTTATTGTTCTTAAGATGATGAATATTAATGCAAAAATGTTGATCGATTCTATTATCCAATGTTTTCTTTACTCTTTTTACTTCATTAATATTTTGGAGGCTATATGGGTATTTGTTTGAAATCAATGTTTCCCATTTACATCCGTTGGGGTATTTGTATGAACACAATCGGTTTAAGCGTTGGGTTTCCACTTTCCAAATTTTACCGGAACAATCGTATCTCATAATGACAGGAAATAAGACCCTCATGCAAAGGTAGGGTGTGGTTGTGCTGTTGTATGAGAATATATTAAGAAGGGACATGAACTCTCCTTGACATTTGCTGTAGCATAACATTCAAAAGTTTAGCTAAATTAAGAAATGCACAGTTTGTTGCATTTCAAAATAATCGAAAAAGGATGTGTAGAGAAAAAGAAAGAAGATACAGAGGAATGAGAGTTGAAAAGAAACATTAGCTCAGAAAATAGAATATTAATTTTTGTGTTAGGGTTAAAAATAAGTATTTATCTACCCTTCGGGTCGGTTCTTCGATCACACCATCAATTACAATAAGTATAAGTAAATTGAGTGGTTGGTTGATTGAAGTGGTTTCGCCTCACCCAAATCTTTATCATGTACCTTGCCTAACACAAATTATTTATTCTATCTAATTGATATAATAAGTATAACAAGTATCGACTCAAAATTCATAGCATAGCAGTTGAAAGTAAACTGTTTCAAGAACATTATCACACCGGTTAGTTTTGTGCGTATATATGCTTATATTTAAATAGTTAGCTACTTTGTTGAGATAATTCTATATTAGATACTAAAAGACTTAAAGGAAGGTCATATTGACAGAAATGACCTTTTTTCATATAATCCATCCAACCACTTCACAAATATTTGTAGTCAATCCATATCTATAATGTAATTAAATTAATTCATTACTGTTTAATAATTTTCTATTATTATTATCATTACTTTTTCTAAAGTGAGAAATTCAATTTTCCTTGTTACAACGATTGATTATTTTATATACAATTTAATAGAATAGGTAATTTGGGCCAGGATAGTTGTAAAACTTAAAAGGCAGAGAAATAGATAGATAGTGTGATATAGAGAGTTATTCAACATAAAACATTGGTAATGCTGTGAAAACCTTCCTCTGTTTTATTCTGCTTGTTCTTCACTCAAGTTATCTGATTAATCTCATTATCGTTATAGTAAATTTCTAGTTTAGGAACTTAGGTGAGGAAGAAAAAATGAGGATGACTGACATATGTAGGGTGGTGATATATATATAAGTGAAGTTTTTATTTTCATATATCTTAAGGTAGTGTAATTAATTAAACAGAATGTGATTTACTTAAGTATTTGCATAGTCTCTGTAAATATTGGCTATTCTGATTGGTATCTCAATGAGAAAATAAAGAGAAAATTTATCCGTATCAATAAATGTACGCCTTTGCTTTAATCTTGATTCATTTCAATTAGTTTACAATGCCATAGGCAGCTGATATGTGTATTCAAGTTATCATCTATATATTTTTCCCAAATTATAATTCAATAATTTCTACACGAACTGTCTAACTGTTTTTTAACCAATTTGTAATGGTTTCAACTATTGGACTTATATTATTATTGTTGTTATTATTAAGTGTTTTCGTTAATGTAAATGTAGCGATCAAATGTTTCATACATATATGTATAGTTTTAATTTTAGTATGAATAATCAGTATATGATATAAGAATATGGCTTAGTGGCTACATATTTAGGGTCACCATCTATGCTGTTATTTCTATCTGCTTTACGTAAGGCAGTTGTGCATTATCTGATTACTTAAATAGTGATCAACTTAGAATGCTCAGATGAAATAGTCCTGTTTGGTGAAGACGCTGATAAAATGCAGTCTTTTGGTAGCACTGAGCGAAAATGCCAGAAGATGAGATGAGTTTCTCGTCTTCTAAATGCGAGTCATTGCTTCAAAACTGGCCTGCGTCAACATTTGAACTAAGGATAGGGAGTGAAGTAGTCGAACGCGTCTCAGAATCAATCACAGTGATGTAGGTGTATACACTCTTTGTCTTCCCTGAAACCGTGAGGTTAAAATTGCTTTATACCTTTCTTCCTACCAACTGATTCTTTCTTCCTGTATTATATCCTTATACACAATCTTTGTTTTATATAATACTACCTTTGAAGTAACTATTTCTATGAATTTAGTGTTGATCTTGTTGCGCTAATGAAGTGTGACAGCTTGAACCGATGCATATATGTGCCTGATACTACGTTGTAGCTGACTAACTGTTTACTTAACTCATAATATTCATTGTGAATAAAGTAGTAACATACTTGTGTTATTTTTATTCAACAGTATAAGTTCTTGTATAATCGTTAATCATCTCGTTTGTTCTGATTATTTTCCAATATTTTGGAGTATTTCTTTTTGATTGAATAAATTTTATGAATTTTCGACTTGATTAAACCTTGTCATTCATTCAGTTTAACTTTGCACATAGATATTTCAAAGAGCAATGGATAGTCAGATTCTGATTACTTGGTTTCCATTGTATTATTTCCTGGGTGTAATCTGCAAGTTCTGAGTTCGTCTGTCTAAGTGGATCATATATGCCAAACTGTTGACGAGTCCTCAAATTAGGACGAATTACTCGTTCGTTTATTTATGGTTTTGAATGATTCTACAATTTATATAAGTTTACTATAACACTTTCTTGATTAGACTATGTCAATCAAGCCATATTTATGTTTAGTCTAGAACTATGCCTGATTTCAATTCATTTTTAGCTGTACTTTTGCTGTGGCTTTGTTGTTAATCATTTTAACGTTATGTACCACTGATTATCTCATTGCTATCATTTTAACCGTGCCAAATACTCACTTGGTAACAATTAATGAATATGTGAATTTGAACATATAGAATTGACATATTATGCAATATGTAGTACGAGAATAGACGAAAATTTAAATTACAAGTTGAATATTGATGGTGGTTACACAAGAATGTAAATAAAAATTGTGCAAGAATGAAGAATACAAGAGGAAATTTTAAGACTCTGTCGATAAACAAGAATTCACTCGTAACTCTTAAGATAGGAAACAGGGTTCTACAAATATCTTATGAATGCCTAAGTTTGGTCTGTTGAGGTGAATAGTGATAACTTCCGTTGTATTTAAAAGACGTATCTATGTAATCCCCGATGACAGGATGGATAGTGTGATTGATCACTCGGAATTCTTTCTTTATATCCACTTGGTCTCCCGTATCTGTTAAGTGATCAAGTACAAATGTCTAAATCGGCCTTAATTATTACATTTTCTTACATAATTATCATTAACATTTCACTTGCCGATAATACTATGTAGATTTTCACATTAGATATTATTACGTAATATGGAAATTCTATAACTATGTTGTGCAATTGATTTTTTTGTTTTTATTTTGACAACTTGAACCAATGTGTTTCTGGTATTAGGGTTTACGTTGATATTGACTGACTAATGGGTGATTATATTTATCGTTCAATAAACATTAGTGTTTAAGTGAGACTAAAAGAAGTATGTATTCCTAGAATTTATATAGTAAACTGACCAAATATAGATTCGTACGTTAGGATATTCTTTTTGTTTATAGAGACTAGTGACACTATCTAACAATTGACTGAATATTGATCCATCGATATAATGAATCTGATCTTACACGTGAATAACATATATCTTAAATTCTAAGCAAATGTACTTTTAAATCGTACTCTGATTATTTACAAAATGTAGATCTTTACTTTCTAATGTTTTATTCATAAAATTTATACTTTTTTTCCCTTAATGAATACTAATTAGGCATGTAATTATCTATTCAACCATATTGAATTTGATTTTTATTAATTCAAATCTTCTTTTGAAGTTTTTATTTTCAATGAGTTAGTTTCTCATTTATTTATCTATTTATAAATTCATTTATTATATCACTGAGTAGATTTAAAAAAAAATTAAATTGACTTGCTCACCAGATACTTGAGTATGAGCATTTAGTCTAAGTATGAGGGTTAATGATACTGTAGTGAACAAGAACACCAGTGGGCTACAATCGAATGTATTTGACATGAAATTACAGGACTTGTTAATAAAATACGTGAATACGTAATTTGTAAAATGTCCATCAATTGTCTCTTAATGACTCAGAATTCATTGTTCTTGCATTTTCATGCAAATCGCATTCTGTCCCCATTCTTTACTGTTCGATCCTCTTGTCTCTCTGCTGCCAGACATTCTGTTCACAAGTAACGTCATATACTACTTATGTTAATATCAGTAGCACACACCACACTCGTCCTCCCCTTTAAAGCAGTCGTTCTTGTGGTGGTTCATGCTCGCCGTGTCACATTCTTCTTTTCTTCAGTCTATGCTACGCCCTCAAGCTGATGTAAATAGAATGAAGATTGAACTCGGTAGTTAGTGGTTGAATGTTGAACTATTAAGTCACTGTTTTACTGTAAAATATATAATTACCTATTTTTTAACAAATTACTATTTAACGAATGTTTTATTAGAGGTTTATTTTCATCATGTATTAATATTATCTGGAGAACTATAGGAAATTATAGAGAATTAGTTAGACTTTTCATCCTAGGTTTGGTCTTCTCTTCATTAGTCTAAATACCTACGACCTCGCACATGATTGAAAATAATAAATTCACGTCTCTCTTGCAGGAAACACGTTACTTTTTCACAACTGGATTGAGATCCACTGGTTTACATTTGTAACTTCAATCGATTCCATTGGTCTTTGTCCAATACCATCGTTGATATTTGAAAGCTATCGGTCAACGCTCCACATTAAAACTTTTAGAATTTATCTCTTAACCAATCACTATTTTACGTATAGAGAAAAAAGCTTAGAATAAGTAGACAGAATCAAAATGAACCGTGGTCTAATGGTTAAGTATTCGCTGCTTCAGTTCTAGGTTCAATAGGTACACACTGCCAAGGGGTTTCATACTTAGAAGAAACATTCTATCCAGAGCTTCCTGGTTTTCTTGGGGTGGTGCCTCAATGGTTAAGACGCTTGACCTTCAGTCACTGAGTTGTGTGTTCGTGCTCCTCTCCATCTACGTTGATTTGGTCAACAGAATGGTATCACTAGCCTCCATACCTAGAATGACTCACATCCAGGTTGCAAGTTAATCAATAAACATCAGCTGAATAGTATCACATTCTCTGTGTTTCTTAACTCAGTGTGGCTTAGCATTTGACTATTTATACATTAGACTATGAAACTTTAGCTGATCATTTGGATTGTATTATTTCTTAGAATGAATTTAAATTAGTTTTTTTCTTGAAAAATAGGTATTATTCATCTTCAGACGATAGTGTACGTAATCTTCGTGGTCTGCCTAATGGATCCAATGAACCTCATGTGAATCCAACTTCATCCGTGACGTTGAACGCTTCCAATTTTCCCAATAACAATGTTAAATTATTAGGTGGGAATTCAGATGAATCTTCTGTTATTACCAGATCTCTTTCACCAAATCAATGTGAGTTTATAATTGAAAGCTTATTTCCATCACATCCAAGTTACTAATATCATATTATCTACTCCTTAGCTGTTATCGACTTACATTGATCATAATGCAGTATGATCGCTAGGGCATGTAACTCGATTTGCTGGTGCACTATGATTAGATGTTGGTTGGCTAAGTGTTTAGTTTTAGACGCCACTTATCAACAAGACGTTTCTTCATTTTCAAGTGAATAAAGCTTCCCATTTTTACATCATTTTCCCTAAGATTTCAGGGAATATCGTTTTGATATATTCCAATCCACAAGATGTTTGGTTTCAAACTAACCACAGATTTACCCATATCTTTCATGCTTCAATTACTGACCACCCTGCCTTTAACCAAGTGACGTCAGTTGTTGATAATCATATATAAATTCTACATTTATGTAACCGTATTATTTCACATGTTAGCGTAATATTGCTTGACCCTCTTATTGTAATAAATGTTTATGTATTTAATTTGCGTTCTATTGCATCCCATAACCTTACTGACATTTTAGTGACAATAACTCATCAGTTATTGTAACACTCATTTCATTTCGATTAAAGCTCACAGCATAAGCGATAATCATGCAGTTTATTATTTTCACATACATTGCTTTTCCACTGAGTAGTAACCAATGTAATGTTTGTCTAATCCTTAGTGTAAGTCAATTTCTAACGTTCAAGTTGCAATATGGTTATCAGTATAGATGACTTGATATCTCAAGTAACCCTGGACCTAGGTTTCTTGTTATTTGACATTTATGAGCAAGGTGTAGTTGCTATATTGATGTAAATAATGCTCACCTTGACTGTGACCCACCTCACCCAGTTTCATCATCTGAAGCATTCTTACCGAACTATTCGAAGCCTCTTGCAGGACTGGAATTTTTCAACAATGACTAACCATCTATATCATACTTGCTTTATTGACGAATCCCAACTAACTCAAAACCTAGGTCCAAATATACCTGTCTAAATAGTTTTTATATTTGTATTCACGTATAAATTTATTTAGACAAGGATTTAACTAGTAGTATCAAGTTACCATGTTGATTATTGTAGCACGGTGTATAATTTATATGTAATTTCGAAAAAAAACTGAAACAATAAAGCTGTTGGTATTGGTAAAGTAAGTCAAAATAAATGTTTCATAATGTATCAAATAATAAGCAAGTGTGAAAGCATATAACAGAGCTTATTATCATTAAAGAACTTTTATAGCGCACATCTCAGTTGATTGCAGAGTTCATTGAATAGAAAAGTATAAGACAATTTTGCACTTCAGTATCTTAAAGAAGATGAAAAGTGAATGTATCTGGGCCATAATGACTAATTATTGACAATGCCACCAATCCTCCCCAACTATCAGTTACGATAATTGCGAGAATCCCCAACTGATAGTCAACAGTAACCAACATAGCTCAGTCCAATATTCATTCTTTTAATGATTTGATGCTACACCTTGGCTCAGCCACTATAGCTTTATCCCTACGTACTGCTACACTAAACAAACTTCGTGCCTCCAGGTAGACGATGGTTAGACATACGTGACACATATCCTAACCACTCCAGTTGATGAAGATTTACAACCTCATTAAACCGGTATCCCAATTTTTATGCTCACTCTGGTGGTCTTAGTATACGCAAGCGATGCTTTGAGGGGATTGATGATCAAATATTAGTAATAGTAGTAGTTCATTATTCTTTACACACGGTGATCATCGTGTTTAATTGATCAATAATGAAATATTCCAGAATCAAGATCATAAATAACCACATATAATATGGTCAAGAGTATTCCCGAAACTCTGTTTCAGTTTAACTTGACACACAAAATCGCAAAAAAGGTAATATATTACACTACACAGATTAGGGGAACATAGCGGAATAGATAATCGATGTCAACCATTTGACAGGATATTGGATTTCCGTTTATGTTGGATACTTCTCATGAGTAACTTTACAATATCCGTTTAATGAATTGTGGTGGGACGATGGTTTTATGTTTAAAAGGACTTGACTTGGTGGAGAGCTCAACCATCATTCTACTCTGTTTGAACAGTCAAATAGTATCGTTATTTCTGACACCTAAAGTTTTTTTGAAGACCAACTACATAAATCTGGTAAATACGTTATGGTGAGTTAAGACTAACTCATTAAATAGACGAATACATCAACACACGTTCTCACATTAAACCGTATAGGTTTTCGCATTACACAGAAATATGAATACCGGAAATAATAGTTTCTAAGATTCTTTCTATGTTTAAGTATTCTCTTTGATATTTATGTCGATGAGATCATTTGTTAATGGATTGTTATTGTTATAGAGGTTTAGTTTATATCTGACTGTAATGATCAATAAATTCCTACGTCTAAAGTTTGTTCGGTTCAATGGCTAGTTGATTGACATGTCCTTCATGTTACTATTGAGTTTACTGTAGAGGAAAGTTTACTTTTTACAGTGTAAGAGATAGCTATAATGGTTCGATCCATATCGGGTATGAGACAGCTATCCACCGCACTCCATGGATGAATGGTTGTGCAAAATCATGGATTAGTTGGAATCAGACATGAACACCGTTGAATTCCGGCTCAGCTGTCTAGAGGTTCAGCGCTCGAGCGTGAAACCGAAAATGCTGAGTTCGATTCTCCTGTGCGAAGTCGTAGATGCGCGTTGACTAGAAATCCCCATACTACTACGAAACAGCCTTGCAATTCTTTCATGTTGTGAATGGTGGTCTAGTTAAGATCAGTTCTTTATCTCAGCTGTGAAAACACGATCTCCACAAATTCCCCATACTAAATTTTATCTTTCTGATTTTTGTTTACGCAAAACGCGCGACTTTGTTCATAATATTTTTTGTAAACTAACCGCTAGATAAAGCACAATATGTGAAGAAATTCTAGGAAAATAAATCTGAGTCTACTTGTTTATAAAGTTATGCGAGTACATTTATAAGAAATATTTATGCGTGTAAATTTATTTATGTATATATTGGTAAAAAGGGGCACCAAGTACATATGCACCTATCTAGGCACTTGATTTGTGTGTTGGCTGTGATACTACCCGGGTGCCCATGTGCACCATTGGTTTGAAATCAGGGTTTCCCGTCTCCCCTAAGTGGATCCTCCTTATCCATATGCATGTAAAAGGGTTAAGGGAACAGTAAGAAGTCAATTTAGTAGATGTATTTGTAAATGGTGCTAAAGGATACCAGTTAATTTCCTTAAATGCTTACTGTGCCTTCCAAATTCAACTCGTCCCCTACTTTTTCTCCAAATTTCTGAAAACCTTTTATTCACTACTCCTACATTCTTCCATAGTCCAATCAAATAGGGACATAAATAAACTATGTTTCATAATCTCAAAGCTGTCTGCTCATAGTTATTCCTCTATTTATTTGCATAAACTAACTTAGAATCATAATTTCCTCTTATCATATTGCTGGCTTTCTAGTTGTTTGTTGTTTGAGAATTTAACATACTTAGAAGTGTAGTCATTGGCTACTGTACATAACCAAGGTATGCAACATCGTTGAATGTGACTGCATGCATATTATTACTCATTAGGTGCTATTCCACCACTTAATCTTCACGTTTGTATTTCAACATTTTAATACCATTTACGATACATTTGTCGTCTATGTTCAACTTTTCAGTTTTATTAATTTATAGTAAGGACTTTTATTCATTTCCATAGGCACTTCAATTAATAATACCAAATCCCAACAATTGATTCCCGCTCCACCACCACCGCCGCCACCACCTCCCCCGCCTCCTCCACCCCCACCAATGGCTAATATAGCTGGGTCGAAAAATTGGCATCAAAATACCACAACAACAATAAGTAATAAACTGTCAGGTTCACAGTCTGCTGCCGAAAATTCCGATACTAGTGACCATGATAGTGTTGCTGAATCTGGTAGTTTAGATGCTCAATTACGTATGGCCAGACAGCAACGTATTCGTGCTGCTTCTGTTGCTGGTCTAGGATCTTCTGATTTTGCACCAACTATTTCTGGCCCACGTACTCATGGTGTAGATATGATGACTGATCTTCAACGTGTTTTGGCAGCACGTCGACGTGCTAAGGAAGCTGAAGAGGTTGGTTCAATTTGAAACTGATTATTATTTATTAAATAAAAATTAACTGTTAAATATCAGGGGATAATGTTAAATTCTACTCCTAGGTATTATAAATCGGATGTTCATAGTTATGCTATTTTTCAATAGGATTCTATGAAGTCAATAACATTATTTGATAAATTTTGGTGTATGTAATTTTATTTTCAATAACATCCATTGCCTTATAATTAAAAGCTGTAATTAAATAGTACATTTCAGTTAGACTCAATATTTAATCTTTTGTCATTTTACTAACATTTTGAATTAATATAACTCCCCTACTAGGTACAAGTTTATGTTTTGATGCTAAGTGGTTGAAGGTAGTCGAGAATAAACACTAGATCTAGGTTTTCTGTTAGATGTCACTCGTTAACAAGATGTACCTGAAATGTTTAAGGTCCTGATGCTCCATATGGGATTTGAACTAGCGTCACAAAAACTTACAGTCGAAGAAAATATTAATGAACTGTTCTGACCACAACTAACTAACTGAAGAACTGAGATTTATTTACAGATAGTTGATCAGTGATTAGGTAACCAATGTTATATCTGTCTAGTCCTTTAATATTGATCGAATTCTATCGACCAAGTTGTACTCAGCTTCAAGTAGCATTTTGTTTTATGAAAACTAATGATACTACTGAGCTGCTTAAATCGAAGTAGATGAAATACTGCAGTTCGAAGCTGTTATCTCGTCAAAAGGTGAATACTTTAATTGTTAGGTCGCCTCTACCGTTTTATAGACCTAGGCGATATTATTCCATTATGGAAATACAGTGTTGCATAAAATACAAATTCATGCACACATAGACACTTTAACAAAAGTTCACGGTCACATTTGCTTGTTAAATGGACTTTATAGCGTCTGCTGTGTTTGTGGTCTCTGACTGGAATTTCCGCATATACTATATACCAATTAATTAGATTTTTCCAGTTTACATAGTTGGAATCCCATCACAACAACACTTGCTTATTCACTCATTCAATTGTTATTTATGTGTTGGTTAAAGCGTTAGATATTCAATCAGTAGTTCACTGGTTCAACTCTTGCCCTACCTAATTCAGTTCGGTCAACCGGGTAGTGTGTCACTAGCCTTCACACATTAAGCGTAACTTAAAGTTGAGTACACGAATCTGTCCTTGCTAAGTGAATTACATCTCCATTAATGTGTCCTCACTGTATTAATATCGCTAATTAGAACATTATCCATTAAGTTCAATCGTTCTATTACTATTTATTCTAGTTCAATTTTATAATAATAAAAGTCAGTCAAATCATTATATGTATATGATATTCTCAAACCGTGTTATAAATTATCCTACTTAAAAATATATTGACTTTCCTATCTCCCGTCTTTTATGACCTATACTAAGAATAACAAATCAATAGATTGTCTCGTCTGAGTTTTGCTCCCATTCTGCATTGATTAATACTGTTACTGTTATGGATATTATCAATATTATTATTATTACATCAGCAGACTTAATCAGACAATTTTCATGTATATATTTATGTATATATTTGGCTGTATGTGTGTACAGACCTGTCCGGTTTTCTTTTATTGATCCATACAGTTGCATTGATTATCTTTCAGACTTAGTCTATCAGAAATTTTCGATTTGTTTATACTTTGTATACATTACTATACTTGTCATAAGGTATATCCCAGGGACAAAGTGGGATTTTTATATGCTTTGGTGTGTCCATGTCGGTAGGACTATATATATATATATATACTCACATTTTAGTAGTTATTCTCCCTTACCTCTCTGTGTATCAATAATGTGACTACCCATTTTTTTTTTCTTTCTGTGAGAGCCTAGAAATGTAAGTTTTCATTTACCTATCTTTGATGAGTGATTAAGCTATTTTCTTAAAAAAACCACCTTTAAAGGAATTATATCACGACAAGATTCATGTCAATACATTTCTGATTTAGAATGTTTTAACTCTGACTTGCTTTAGTATATTTGCTACATAACATTTGTGGAATTCTAGACATCTATTACTGTTTTATTTAAGACTTATCAGCTAGTTTTTCCTGTAAGCTAATGTTGTTCACATTCAGGCTTGAATCTAATATCCATCACTTGGAACGTCAACACATTGTTCAACTAATCTACTGTGTTGAGATAACTACTGGAACCTGTAACTAAAAGATAGCAATGAGATAATCTACACAGGAAGCACGTTTATGCCCAATGGCATAATTAGGAAATAAAAGTTTTTTTGTAACTGCCGTCAGATGTTTTTAGAAGACGATCACCTTTATATTATCTATGCATGTATCCATCAATATTAACTGATATTGACTTCACAAATGTATTTTACCAATTTATTTATTTATTTAAACATATTAACATTGGATCGAGAAGGCACCAAATATATATGTGCCACACAAATCACTCGATTTGTGTGAGGGCCAGAATACTGCCCGGACGCCTTAACAGAAGTAGGTGGTCTTCTTAAGGGGTCAATCACAAAGCCTTTACCCAAAGTTCTGATTCACAAGTCAGTAGAGCAACGTTAGGAGATGCAGTCCCATGGTGGCCGGTGGCCAACAATAGATTTATACGTCATTTGTTCCCTCAGGATCCCAGAACCCGTGTGCACCATTGGTTTGGGACCATAGTTCTCCAACTCCTCTAGGTAGATCCTCCTTACACACCAACCGGTTAAAGCGCCGGAGATCCGCTTTTCGTCCTCTCAATTTCGTAAACAACACCCATTGTGTGTGAGATCTGTAGATAGGACTTTCCTGGCGGTGGCGCTATGCACGTGGCTATGTGAGAGCATTTTGGGACGGAGAGCGGACTCTCTCTAATCTCGACCATAACATGGCACTTAAGGGAGTATTACCAATTAGTTTTCTGATTATATCGTAAACTTAACTAAATTGTTTGATCAAGCAAGATCAGTGATCGGAAAACTTGACATCATTCAATATCTGACTACTGTACATTATCCAGTTATATATATCTAACTTTATCACTTAACTGCCGACTCTAGGTTTTCCCTTCTCAGGAATCTTGAATTCTTTCAACTTGCAAACATATCTTTTTCATTAATCATAGGATCTCTAGTTCGTCGACTCATAACTAATGAAATAAAACATTCATCAAAACTTATTTGATTATCTATATTTCACTGTATCGTTAATATTGAATAAATAACCGATTCAATTCATTTATTATCTATAATACTACTGAAAGTTTGAATATTCCATACACAAAAAACAACAACTTCTAAATTACTTTTCACTACAATCTACTTTAATTTACAATCTTTCTCTTTCTAATTTTTCTTTTACTTATTATTAAGAAAAGACTAAATATTACACTTCACTCTTCATTTAAATTTTATTCTTTATGTTTGTGTACCATTGAAAATTGTTTTGTATTTTCTTTTATTTATAATTTTCTCTACAGATTACTTTTTACTTTCTTTCTCACTTGTAATTTGGCTAGATTATTTTTGTATGTATGTGTGCATATCTCTCTGCATGTATATGTAACAGTTGTTCAAAGATATATATATATATATATTTTATTCAACCTTCAATTATGTTTTACAACTTTGTTTTATGGGCACTACTTTTATGTATTATTACCAACAACAACAAAAAAGAAGAAAAAGTGTCCATAAATACACAAAAGTTTTCTTTATTTATTGTTTTACTCACTATAATTAATAGTAATGGTAATAAACAGTCTAGAATTATCATATTATGGCTATGTATTACACGGATTGAGTTTTTTGTTTTTACTTTTGATACATAAAATAAAACAACCACGTCTAGTGATGCTATGTTCTATTTGTAACATTGAATACAATGTTTTAGACTAGTAAAGTTTAATTACTCTATGAGATTGTGTGAATATATATGGTTGAATTTATCGAGTTCATATTACCTAATTTATTTTTATCAGTTGATTTATCTTTCTAATCTTCTCTTTCTCTTACACACATATACATGCTGAATATCTATGTTGTAGATTACCTGTTAAAATGTAAACCAATTCTACCATTTTAAATAGTTATACTGAATGTTTCCAGTAAATTGAATCTTGAGGCTTATTCCTGTTCCTATATAATATCTAGTGAATCTTCTAACTTATGACCGTAGGATTTTAATTAGTGCAGATATTCCCTTGGGCTCAAATTATATATATATATATATATATATATACCTTGAGAATGCCCATCTACTTACTAGGGCTAAAAGAGGGTTATATACCTGTGTAAAGAATTAGAATTATGATTTACAGTTGATAGCTAGGGTCAGGAATTAGATTTATGGTTTTCATCACGAACCGTTATCAGCTAAAATGCCAAAACGCTATTTAGCCAAATGAATGAATGAATTCTGCGTCAAAATCCAAGACCTGTTATCGTATATTTGATTAGTTCCTCGTCAAAATAAACTTATAAACACTTGAAAAACTTTTGACATACCACTGGTATGACATTATTGTTTGATACACTAACATTGTTCATATGCACCTAATGTTAGTCGTAATATTTTGTCTAAATGCATTTTCTCCCGTTTTGTTTTTCTTTAAATAAATACTTGTTAAGTATTTAATATTAATTAATCATTCATTTTAAGGAAACCTTTAGATTTGTTTAGTCTCTGATTTTGTAAGAAATAGCTTTATTATCTAATGATTAGATAGTTGCTTATGTAGTATCTTCAAGATATAAAGAAAGATAAATTAAGTCATTTGTTATTTGCAGTCATCATATATGGTCTATAATTTTTATTCACTAATCTATTTTCATGTCTATATTACATAATATAAAAACAAAATGTTGTTTGTCTGAACAAATTGTAATGAAAATGCCGATAGTAACAATAATGATACTACTACTAATGATAATATATAATAGATAATTGTGGCAAATAACGGAATTAACAGGACGAAAAGCGAATGTACGACTCTTTAACCGGTTTGATGGGTACGAATGATCTATTTTG